CTCTCGCGTTCGTTAGATTTAGCTTAGAAATGTGTTATGTTCGTTATTTATTATCCCTTCGTTCGAGATATAGTCAAGATTGTTTTATTTGATCAGGGACCAGGCTTTTTCCTCACCTTTGACTGGGGTTTTTTTTACTGCCGATGCCCTTTAGAGTAGAGTTTCTTAATCAGATAGAAATAAATATTATTCACTTCCATTCTTTTTAAATATGTTGTTTTCATTCACTCCGGTGATGCCCACTCCATCTCATTCCCCGCATATTCTACAGGATTTCCAGGAGGACGAGATCCAACAAATGATATATTCATAATAAGTTTAATGGCTAACCCTTACACGTTATGCAAATTATACATAGAATATAAATTGTATAATTTATAGAAAATATTCGCGGTATACAAATTATACCCGTATGTTATTTAGACGATACGAATCATACAAATAATACGAATTAAACAATTCATACAAAATGTACGTGTTTCACAAACTATTTATAAATATAAATTACGAAATTATAAATTGAAACTAGGGTAACATTTATCGATAGTGAAGGTAGGAAATTGTTTTTGAAATGGTATTACTAACCATCAAAATATCGAGGAATAATATTTACGTTAGCGTGGTTTAGGGATAATGTAAGAGACCGCTAAAATATTGGCAAATAACGTCTGCGTTTTCGCGTATGTGTCACGTCACTATTGACAATGAAGACATTCGTAAACAACGTTGGCCTGCAGGGAACATCGCGAAGCGGCATTACCTCGATTGTGCGACGAACGGTTTCGCTGGTTTACAGGATACAGTAATGAATTGCATTCAAGGAAACGAGATAACAAGACCAGATAATTGAGGCGTCTAATAAATTGGAAACAAATTTAGTTTCACTCTCGAACAATAAGATCAAATTATCATCTAATTTTATTTTCTATACCTTGGAACAAAAGCCACAGATCTTCCTTTCTAATAAAGAAATTCTTATTGTTATAAAACCAATTTCAATCTTATCATTGTTAGCGAAGATTGTATGAAATTACCAGCCACCTATATTCTGAGAAAGATAACAGTCAAAGAACGAACTGCACAAACGAATTAATTAGAGACAAAAGATGATTTGATGAGAAATGAAGTAGCTATGAAAAGTGTTAATTAATTTGAAATGAATAACTATAGATAGAATGAAAATAACAGCATTCCTTTCTTTGCTCTGTGATATCTAATCAAATAATTGGCACAATTCTGTAATTACATAAACGCATTTAAGTTGATTATACCGATTTCTTCTTTTTATGTCTTCTAACTTTAGTGTGTACCTTCTTGCCAGTCACTAATTATTTCATTTATGTAGTTGTCTATTGAAAAATAATATATCAAATAATACACTAAAATGTAATATATACAGGGTGTCTACGTATAAGTCCGGACATACGCAGGGTGTCAATTCTACAACAAATTGCCAACATAAAATTACTCTTAGACATTTTCTTTGTGTCGCCTTATTCTCAAGAATTTTCACTTTTAATTTTTGTTCTGTGTTTTCGACTAGACACTCTTTAAACGGCCATAACTCCACCAAAATTACAGTGCAAACTTAAAAGTAAGTATACTATTCGAAAGAGCGTTAAATTTCCCATCTCCCTGATGTCGAACCAAAATTTATTATGTAGATTTAACAAGTAAAAAATTAGGTTAAACTTTACATTGTGAAAATTTTAAAAAATTTGACGTTTTCTGTATTCGTTTTTCGGTTTTAAAAACATACTTGTTTGGCGGGCACTTTTCGGGAAGAACTTCCTCGAAGTCTGAACTTTTAAATGGTAGTATCAAAAAAAAATTATACGGTGGTATATTAAAGAGAAAATTACGTTTAAATGCAGAAAAGCGTTCAAAATACCTGCCTCCTAAATCAAAACTTATCGGTTCTTCTGCGCCGAAAACATAGATTTCTTGCTTTGTGAAATCGATCGTGTTCCAATCTCCATATCATTTATCGGTACACCGAGGTTGATTTTGATTAAATAGTCTCTAAAAACAAAAATTCTATGGATACATGTTCAAAAACAATTATTATTCCCCTCGCTCACAGGCTCTACACACGATTGGGAGAGGCTTGAGGTGTCAAAAAATCGTTTTTTTTTTCCTAATTGGGGAAGCTCATGAGTGTCACTAAAAAATACATCAAACCCGATGTCAAGTTAATTTTAAAGTGACAAGTCGATTTTTGTTGAAAAATATCGATTTTCACCTAAAAGCCTACGCTTTTCTGTATTTAAACGTCATTTTCTCTCTAAAATACCACAGTACAATTTTAAAATTTTTTTTGATACTACCATTCAAAAGCTCAGATTTCGAGGAAGTTTTTCCCGAAGAGTGCCCGCCAAACAACTATGTCTTTAAAACCGAAAAACGAATACAGAAAACGTCAACTTTTTTAAAATTTTCACAATGTAAAGTTTAACCTAATTTTTTACTTGTTAAATCTACGTAATAAATTTTGGTTCGACATCAGAGAGATGGGAAATTTAACGCACTTTCGAATGGTATACTTACTTTTAGGTTTGCACTGTAATTTTGGTGGAGTTATGGCCGTTTAAAGAGTGTCTAGTCGAAAACATAGAAAAAAAATTAAAAGTGAAAATACTTGAGAATATGGCGACACAAAGAAAATGTCTAAGAGTAATTTTATGTTGGAAATTTGTTGTAGAATTGACACTTCGCGTATGTCCGGACTTATACGTAGACACCCTGTATATTATAAATATATAAAGGAGGGTTATGTTTCGATCGGTGAACGCATCGATTGAATAATCGATGTGTTCGACGTTTTTCGGGCGCCTTCGCGAGGTATCGTGACGCGTTCTTGTTGTTTGTTCGAGGCAAGCGGCGCGCGAAAGTTTTTTGTACTTTGTTGTCGTAAGGCCGATCGCACACGGCGCAACCGATTTGAAATTAGTGTTGCAAACCGTTTGCGCTCCTTGTTTTACCTACTTCACTATCTTTGTTTTACCTAGATCCACGGTCACATGCAACTATGTAGTTTCAGAGTGGTTTGAAACTGTTTCGGTTGCGCTGTGTGCGATCGGCCTTACGGTCGTTCGTGCGGATGTTTTGCGTCAGTTTTTTTATACCTTTTCGATTTTATATTCTTAAATACATCATATTTACTGTTTCTCACGCATTTAATTTATTCGCCACCCTCGATCATCCCAAATCCTACATATATGATACGATATATTTTGTAGTTACCTTTTTGAAATAATTAAGGTAAAACGTATAGATAAATATGCTTACTAGTTCCGGCTCTGCAACAATCACCTTATTTATTATATACACTTTAATCCATTCCAGTAAATTACTTTGCAATATTACACAGTGTTATTTCTCCCGTTTTAAGATTTCGTAATGGTCTAAAATAAACAATTTATTTAAATAAAATTCCGTTGTAAGTTTGCTTCAAGATGAACAAAATTGTGAAGTACGAAAAGTGCAAACAAAATTTAAGCAGAACATTGTCAAATCGTGCGTCAAGTTCTAAAAATGAGGGCGAACTACACCCCTTCGACTCGCTGAGCAAGGAAAAGAAATCGTCGAAATCATGAAAACTTCCTCGCGATCAGAGGAGAATTCGATTGAAACTTCCCGTTCACAAGTTTTCCCATCTGTTTTCTTATCCGACGAATAACCACGAGAGAATCTCGATACTTTGTCGACCTGTTCCCGCTTGATGGAAATGCTCCTTGAATCGTAAAAGGAAATCGATGTTTTTCACAAGAATCGTCGGTACGACGGCGAGCGTCTCTTTTTCTCGATAAACGAATATGGAAAATGGTTACAGTTTTCGCTAGACTTGACCTTTGCGGAAATCTAGGACATAACCATTGTCGCGTCAGCCCTGTATGATGTACATTATGTTTAACTTATGAAGAAAGTTCTACGATAAGATCGCAAGTAAACCTTGATGATATAAAATATCGAGTAATGTCTGTTTTTAACCGACTTCGAAAAGGGGAAGGTTACTCAATTCGACATGTATATTTTTTTTTCCATGTCACTTGCTCGGGATTGAGCAAATATTGCTCGTATGGATATGGATTCCATACCATGTATCGCTTTTGTAAACATTAGATTGCGTGTATTTATGAGAATTCATATTTTCACAGATACAGAAAAAGAATTAAAATATAAATAAATGTATGCTTTATCTTCTATATCATATAATTTCCATTTGTCAAAAATGCATACAAAATTCGTGATTTACATCTATCTGCTTCACAGATACAGAAAAAGAATTTAAACTCAAATGAAAGTATGTCTCATCAATAAACTACGAATATTTATGCATTTATGATGAGTATAAATATGCAAGTATTTGTTAAAATGAATAAATATATAAAACATAAAATAAAAAATACATGTTACAACATTTGGAAGACAAAATATACTTTAACTTACGTTTCTATTCTTCATCTATGTAGATATATAAAATTTTGAATTTGCATCAATTCAATTCAATTTACGGTCAATTAAATAGTATAACATCTATATTATTGTTGATACTTTATACAGGGTGGTTCATCTAAACCAGGCAACCTGAATATTATATTTCTTCCAACTGTGATGATACAATAAATATTCTATATATAATTTTAATTATTTTCAGTGTTTCTTTTCTTGTAAGTTTTCATGGTCATCGTTTCTTTTTCTCTCACAAGTGCATATATTTTTTTCAATGAAATAATTTTGAATAGACATCAATTTTACGTTTAAGTTCAATTTTGTTTAGTTAAATAACATTTCGAAATCAAGTTATTGTACACATCAGAAAGTATTAAAATGTTAATGACACGATAGAAAAAAATATATATTTATGGACAATAAAACATCGATGATCTTGAAAACACTCAAAAGGAAGAATCCTTGAAGGATTAAAAATGAAAGATAATGAAAGATATCACGAACTATGAGTCATTTAGAAACAAAATAAAGAATCAATAGTGACTCACCGACGCTGTTTTCCCATTTTTACTCGTGACTTTCAGTAGGGACCCCTCGTACCCCTGAAATAGAATAAAGGTTAGCGTATTATGAGATCTGTGATAAAAGGAACTATTATACGTGTTTCAACGAAATCTCGTTAAAGGATCGTGGTCAGTTAATAGGGCATTTTCTGACATTATGAACAAAGTAACGTTATCTTGTATCAGAGAATTTCTTGCACCTGGATATCGACTCTATCTAATGTTGCACGTGCAGCCATCCAGTTTGAATTCGAATATAATTACAAACACGTGCAAGAAAATATCAATGTTTCGATAAAGAACATTTATATATTACAGAAGTAATTATTTCACATTTTAATATTTTTTATTCAACGAGGAAATATAATAAATCTTATTATTAGAAGCAACGTATGTGTATTTGTTGACATAAAGTAAATTTTTCATTCATTATACAAGGTGTCGTAAAAGTCGGGGAGGAGCCGAAAATGGGGGGTAGCTGAAACGATTCTGAACAATAATTTCCTTTGCAAAAATGTCGGATGGGGCTTCGTTAAGGAGATATTAAGAGAAAACCCCGACCAATCAGAGCACGCGTAGACCGTTCGAGCGGTCGCGGTAGCGAAGTCTACGCGCTAGGCGGCAACGTCAATGTCCTTCGATGCACGTCGAGTCACTTGTTCGCATACAAGCGCGGCCGCCAGCGCGTAGCCTTTGCTACCGCGGCCGCTCCAACGGTCTACGCGCGCTCTGATTGGTCGGGGTTTTCTCTTAATATCTCCTTAACGAAGCCCCATCCGACATTTTTACAAAGGAAATTGTTGTTCAGAATCGTCTCAGCTACCCCCCATTTCCGGCTCCTCCCCGACTTTTGGGACACCCTGTATAAACATCATTGATCAGTTATTAATCATCATTGAATCCAAAAAAAAAATATGCAACTCAATGAATATGGATATAAATTAAATGAATTAAATAAATATGAATTAAATTTATTTATAGTTAGATGTTAACGAAAATATTTTTTACGTCACACATTTAGAATTAAAGAATTGAAATAAAATGTGTATATTGTAAATTTATAAAATTTATATCAAATTATTAATAAAAAATATACTTTAGCCTTCATTTACCGAAAAGGAACATATGCAAAATCACTACCCCAAAAATTAAAAAGAAAAATAATACATTTTCTACGATCAACGATTGCAATATAGAAATAACTTATTTACAAAAGTGAAAAAATATTATAAAGTATGATACAGGAAAATGGTCTTATATTTTCTTTTAAATGGTGTTATATTTGTTCTAAAATTCCTTCTTTCTAAAATTGCACACGCGGTAAAGTTACGAATCACGCGATTTATTTTTATATAGTACGTATCAATTTAGGTAGAGGGAATATACGAAATTGTTATTTCAGATATATCCTCAAATTTTTCGATTCCTTTTCCGAATCATCCTATACGTGTTCAAAGCGAAATTTTCGAACAGCGGATGGGAGTGAAATTTATTTGTTTCGACTGAAAACAATTCATCTACCAGTGTAACACGGTTACTTACAGCCAACCGCGTACAAATAAAAGAGAAATAAAACAACCGTTTGTAGTACTTTATTTCATTCGTGTTCGCAACAAGCGAATTTTTTATGCCCGCTCAGGTAACACGTTTTCCAATTTTTGTTCCGGCGGTTACGAGTTCGTAGGAACATCGTCGGCCGCGCAAACACATTTAGACGATTTTAATGAATCGAACCAATATGTGCGAACGGCAAATCGTCGGGGCAAAACGCAAATCACTTTAAACGAATCCCGTGAACCGGAACAAGCATGGAAATACTCGCCGTTTGATTGCAATTAAGTAAATCGAATAATTTTACTGAAAATAACCTTCTCGATTTAATGAAATTGAACGCGGCGCCGTGAGCCTTGAAAGCGGATGATGCTTCCAACGATTCTAGCATTTTAAAAATGCACTCTTGACGCTCGATACAGAACTATGTTACATGCGTCACAGTTGTGCTTCGACTAAAAATACATTCACTTTGTTCGATAGATCGAAGATTCGTAACTTGTAAATTTTTAAATATCTGGAGTAAGGTAACAAATTTACAATAAAAAATATATGGATACAAGGAATGATACGTAGATGTATTTGCTAATTAATCGGTAATTAAAACTAAGCGTAGAAACCCAAGTGAAAATATATAAAGCTGTTATGAAAGTAATATGAACTTATAAATTACATAGATCAATGGTTTATGTTTGTGATCTTTCAACTCATTCGCTGCCACTTTTCACACTGAGATATCTCGTAGTTTGTGATACAAGTTTAGATCGATTGCAATTGGTCAAGAAATAAGTTTACAGCCGGTTGAGTTTGGAATTATTAAAATGGATGAACGGAAATTTAATATGGTAATATTTTTTTTTTTAATACAACACATTTAATAGCACTTTGTGTTAAATTTAGCGCTGAAGACAAAACGATCTAAATTTGCCTGACAGTGGTTAAACAGGAATTGTGAGAGAATGAATGGCAATGAATGTTATAAATACTTTTTAATGATACAAGTTAAATATAAACAATTAGTAGTTACATGGTAATAGTTGGATGTACTTAAAAATTAACTATCTTCGATTTGCTAGAGACAGACAAATTCCATTTAGAATACTCAAGTTGAAATTGACATCTCCAACAATGTTTAACGTTACATATTTATTTTATTAGACGTGCATAGGAGTCTATAGCAAGGCTTTTTAAACTTTTTCATTCATGACCCCATTTATGATTGTGACTTTTTTCGCAATCCAATAATTTTAAATAAAGTAAATATGTAAATATTTTGTGATGATTTATTGATTAGGTAACAATATATGTGTACATGTCAAAAAATATAGTTGTAGAATTTGCTTAAAAACATACAAAAATATAAAATTAAAAATTGCACAAAAAGTTGTAAAATTGTATTTATTATAGTTACAAAGTTATATATTCTATTTTTCATCAAAACTGCATTTTTTTCAATAGCATAAATAAAAGAGAATATTGAAGAGAATATTAAATATTTTACAATAAAATCTTGCGACACCAAGATTTCGCTAAGGCTCATAAAAACTGAGATGGAAATTATTCAACAAATTCGGGTTATCTAAATTTAAATCGCACTTGATACATTCTTGAACTGAAACATTTCTAACAAATAAATTGCAGATATTTTAAATCTTTTTAATACGACCTAGGCTAAAAATTATTCAATACTTTTAATATCTACTTGACCCGTAATAAATAAAATGCGTTTCTTCCGCGAAAACATCCAATAAACATGAAATGTACAATCCTCCCTATACGTTAGTCTACGAATTTCGTGCTCTTGCGCGTCCTCGTTACGCTCCCACCGACAAATTAATGGCAATACTGAGTATTTAGATGGAATAGCAGATGGAATGATGAGACATCCCGTCGTTCGCCATCAGTATATTCACAGAAGTGTGCAGACGAAGCCGCGGTTAATCTAGTTTATACGAATGTTGAAATTCAAATGTTTTACCGTGAGTGATGTTGATTGAAATACCAAGAGATTTTGGCAGAGATTGTCTAGGGTAATCGCTATTAAAGTTTGTGTTTTCTACTATGGATAAAAGGGGGGATAGAAATTATATCATAGAAAAAGAGTCGACTAGAACGAATTCGCGCTACCCTATTATGTGACGTGATGACTAATGAAAAAGATGTACATTTGTAGATAACGCAAACGCATTATTAGTAGATTACGGATGCTTATGTAAATTCATATTTTCACAGATATAAAAAAAGAAGTGAAATTTAAATGAAAGTGCAGTGGGTGTAGAAAGTATTCGTACACCGATCAATTTCCAAAAGAACTATGTGAATTGTAATTTATTAACTTTTTTTTTATAAATAATGATATTCTACATATTCTTGGAAATGTCTAGAATAGATACAGTACGAAAAGATTAGGTATTTTGTATAAGTGAGAAATCAACAAGAAAAAACAATAAATCGTACTTATAATATTCGTATAAGTGTTACATATTTTAAACTTCATTTTTAAAAAAAAACGAAATTTACATTAATTTATAAGTAATCAATACTTCGTGGGATTTCCTTTTGATTTTACAATTATTGCAACTCTTCTAAGCATTAAATTAACTATCATAAATGTCGATGTTATTCGGGGTGAGATCTTCTTTCATTTCTTTATTACAGCATTTTTTAAGTCTTTTTTACTGGAAATGTAATGTTTTCTAATTCCCACGAAGCAATAAACTGATGTGCTTATGTTACAAATTCTATTGTAAATTGTTCGTCATAAGAACCGTACGAATACTTATTGCTTCTATATTTCTACTAATTTTTCGTATTTTCTTGTTAATTTCACAAATTACATAAACTAGTAATTGTTGTTTGAACTATATTCTAGAGATTTCCGAGAATATGTAAAATATCATTGATTACAAAAAATGCACTTAATAAACTACAATATCACACAAAAGTTTTTTGGGAAATTGATGGATGTACGAATACATTCTACACCCACTGTATATATCCTATTTTTTAAATTATACAGCATGCATATTATTTGTTAGTATTTGATATATTTTTGTATTCGTGCACATTGTTATACATATTTCTATATTTCAACTTGCCATAAGTCTAGTTGTTAGGAACTTTCTTTAAATTTTTTCTTTCATTAAATAACAACCTTGTACTACAAATTTGTTATTTAATCAGTGGATTAAGTGAATTCCAGGATATTCCAATAAATAATAATATCTCATCGATGAGATATTTCAATTGTATGGGTCCCTATACTTTACAAGATTTAAACATTTTATATGTAACATACAGGTTTCTATATATACTTAACCATTATTTTTGTAAATCACATTACAAATTCTATTTTTTTAAAGAAAACCTAAATAAAACAATTTGAGACATTTAAATTAAATCGTTTACTCATATGTTCTGAAAAGTTAATACTTTATCTCGCCTGATTACACGACAAAGCGGTTAATTATCGTTCCAATCATAATTTT